CGCCACCCACTGCTCCATGATTGACAGCCAATCTATTCACCATCATCGACCCGCTCGGCCCAAACACAAGTTGTCCTCCCATCTAAAAAATTGAATATGAGAGTGGAGATCTATTCCCGCCCACTACCGCCGTTCGATGGCACCCCATCTGATCCTAAATGGAGGTAAACGAGCTTGCATGTTTCAGTTTTCGATTTATGAGATTTTGATTTGGGGAAAAGGTTAAAATCCAGTCTATTTGTTTGGATTTTTGGAGAGGTTTCTGACGGGAAGACATGGGAGAAGGCTGGCCGCTGTTCTCGTCGCCTACTAGAGAGCATCCAGGAGATCGATGATGGAATAGAAGGCGAGCTCTCTGGATTTGGGAAGGAAGAACGAAGAAGTTGTAGCTCAGTTCGATTTGCGGAGATGGCGGATTTTTGGGACAATGAAGAGTGAGCGAGTGAGCTTGGATCGATTATACTTCTTGGGAGATAGCCATGATTTTCTCTGGTTTTGTTTTGCATTTGTGGAGAACGAAGAAGAAGATGGGGAAGATAGAGGGGAAAGGAGAGAGAGAGAGAGAGAGGAGAAAGCAGAGAGTTGTCAAATAAAAAAAAAGAATAAATATAAAATTGCCGTTTTCTCTCCGATTTGGAGGGTTGGGTTCAACAGTGACTCATCCCTCCCTTTTCCTTCACCTCCACACTGTGCAAAGTTTCAGAAACGGGGGAAAGTTCCTCGAAAATCCCACTCTCCCCCCTTTCCTTTCCTTTCCTTCGTTTTCCGCTCTAAAAAAACAGGTGGTTAAAGTAGTTAACTTCCCCTGGTTGCTTGTTGGGGATTACAATGTTATTATATCCAAGTGAAGGCTCAAATACCCCTCAGTATTCCACTAGTATGAAGTCTTTCAATGATTGGTTAAGAGACATTGAGGTTGAAGAGCATAAATCTACAAGGTCTTGGTTCACATGGCTCAACAAGAGGCAGCATGATCCATTTGCTAGACGGCTTGATAGGGTATTTGTAAATCTGGAATGGTTGGAAGTGATGAAACATAGTCTTGTGCACATACAGTCTCCTGGAGTCTCAGGTCACTGTCCGGTGTTTATTCAAACTGAGTTACCACTTAAATCTTTGCCTAAGTTGTTTAAGTTCTTTAACTTCTGGCTTGAGCATCCAATGTTTGCAGAGTTACTCACTCAGGCATGGACGGAGGTTGTGGAAGGCTCTCTTATGATCAGGGTTTATAAAAAGCTCAAGAAGCTTAACAGGGAGGAATTTTCTGATATAAGGGGAAGGGTGAAAGATAAGGAAAGAGAGCTGGAATCTATCCAAATGAATGCCCTTTCAAACCCTTCTTAAACGAGTTTTGAGGTTGAAGTAAGGGTTTCAAAAGAACTCTTTGAGTTGCTTTAGGATGAGGAAAGTTTTATAAGGCAGAAATCAAGAGAGCTGTGGTTAAGGGTAGGGGATTCAAACTCAGGTTACTTTCACAGATCTATGAGAACTAGACTAAAGAGGAACACAATCACCTCACTTAAAGATGCTCAGGGTAATTCAGTTACATCAGTTGATGGCATGTGTAAAGTGGCTATTGACTTTTATATGGCTTTGTTGGGAAGAGAAAATCCGCATGTTGAGTTCGAATCAGTAGAGTTTTTTAAAGGCCTTCTTAGACATAAGCTTAACACTGAACAAGTTTCCTCTATCTGTGCTCCTATTACTGCTACTGAGGTTAAAGAGGTTATGCTTGGCTTCAATGGAGACAAGAGTCCAGGACCAGATGGTTTCAATGCCAGATTCTTTCAAGCTTCTTGGGGTGTAGTTGGGGGCTTGGGGCTGAAATTACTATTGCCATTTAGAACTGTTTTGTGACTGGGAAGATTCCAAGAGAGGTAAATGCTACAATTTTTGCTTTGATTCCTAAAGTTCAAAATCCGGATGAGATGAAATTTTTCAGGCCTATTTCTTGTTGCAACTTAGTTTATAAATGCATTCTAAGATTGTGGCAAATAGATTTAGCTCTCTCCTCCCCCTAGTTATTAGTGAGAATCAGACAGCGTTTGTGAAGGGAAGGGTAATTGGGGAAAACATCCTCTTAGCTCATGAGCTAGTGCATAAGTATTCTAGGAAGAACATCTCTACTAGATCAGCTCTTAAGATCGATCTTATGAAAGCATTTGACTCAGTGAGTTGGCAGTTTCTTTTTGTTGTGCTGGAAGCTATGGGGGTGCCTAATCAGTTTATTAACTGGATTAGGATGTGTGTCTCTAGCCCTATGCTCAGTATAGCGCTTTTAATGGGGGATTGGTGGGTTACTTCCCTGCCAAGCAAGGTATGAGGCAAGGAGATCCCCTCTCCCCATATTTGTTTGATGTAGCTATGGAGGTGTTTTCTTGTCTTTTGGATTTGGAAGCTGAAAGATGAAGATTTCCTTACCATCTTATGTGTAAAAGAATTGGTTTGACTCATTTATGCTTCGCTGATGACCTCTTGGTCTTTTCTGATGGGTCCAATTATGGTATTCAAAGTGTTCAGAGGGTTCTAAGTGTGTTCCATAAGCTCTCAGGGCTTCAGTCCAACCCAAGCAAGTGTGAAATTTTCTTTGGAGGGTTAGAGAAGGAGGAGATGGTAGAAAGAGCTAAAAGGTATGGATATCAATTAGGGGGGTTCCCTGCGCGCTATCTTGGGGTTCCTCTTGTTGCTGGAAAACTTACAGTAATGCCTGCAGACCTTTAATTGACAGAATCACAAGTAGGGTGCAGGGATGGAAGGCTAAATCTCTGAGCTATGCTGGTAGAGTGGAACTTGTTGGGTCTGTTTTGTATAGCATGTCACAATACTGGATGAGTGTCTTTATGCTCCCAAAGACTGTTATTTGTGAGGTTTAAAGAATATGTAGTAACTTTCTCTTGTCTATTGGACCTGGTCTAAAGCTTAAAGCAAAAATGACATGGAAGTATTTGTCTATCCCAAAAAAAGAAGGTGGGCTGGGTTTGAGAGATCTCTCTTCCTGGAATTATGCTTGTGTTTGTAGGCAGATATGGGCGGTTATGATGCAGCATGGCTCATTGTGGGTTGCTTGGATTCAAGCATACAAGCTGAAGGGTAGAGATTTATGGGCTGTGAATATTAGTGGCTCATGGAACTAGGGGAAGTTGCTGAAAATTAGAACTAATATCCCTAATCTATTTTGCTTGAGAGATGGATTGCTATATTGGAATGATAAACCAATAAAGAGATATTCTATTAAGTTGATCTGAGAATCTGTTAGGTCAAAGCACAATGTAGTCAGTTGGTACAAGCTTTTATGGAAAGGGCCTTCTATTCCTAGGAACAGGTTTCTTGTTTGACTCATTATACGCAACAAAATTCAAACCAAAGACAAGATGCAAAAGTGGGGATTTGCTGGTTCTGATCATTTCTCACTCTCTGATCAGGCAGGAGAGACAAGGGATCACCTGTTCTCTGCCTGTCCATACTATTCTACTGTTCATCAGCTGCTATTGGGGAAGTTTAGCTCTTTCTGTCCACAGAATTGGGAGGAAAATCTAGACTGGGCTATAAGAAAGTTTTGAGCTAAGTCTGTGTGCAATGACAGGTCGACTGATTTGGCAGTCTATGGTGAGTCATGTTTGGAGAGAGCATTGCAGGAGGGCTTTTGGTGGCAGCAAGAGGTCTCCTGAGGTTCTGGCTTTAATGATCAAGAGTGAAGTTTGTGTTCTGGTGCAGGATTTGAAGGAATTGGACAGGTTCTGGGTTTCTGGTTCGTAGCTTCATTAAATCTCTTACCCCTCTACCCGAGATTGTTGTTTCCTGTTTTGGTTTAGTTGGTTGGTCTGCTTTGTTTGAATTTTACATAGGAGTAGTGTTTTTGGCTTCTGTTTCTGGTTCCATTAACAGTTTGATCCCATTCCCCTAGCTGGCAAGGGTGTTGCCAACAACACTTTTTTGATAGAATGAAAGTACACCGATTCATAAAAAAAAAGAGTAATACTAAACTTACATTACGATGATAGATGTATTCTTTTCGGTAATTACTAATTATTAGTCGGTTGATTAACAATTAGCTGCCACTACAGCAAACAAGAAATCTAATTAGTATTATACATACTTAAAATAACGATTTTCCAAAAATAGGTAAGACTTCCAAAATGAGCTGAAATAGGTGGTGGGTTTAGTTGGCATACATGTTATTGGTTTTTGTTTCAGTCAAGATCACAAGTCAAAATTCCACACGTGAGATAGATTTCACATTTCCGATACACCAAATAGGCTCTCTAATTAATTAAGTCAACACGGAAAATATTATCAGAAAATTTTTCTTCTTATGAATAGTGAGTAAATTGCACTGTATATTTATATATAACAAGGAAAGTAATCCATGTAATTATTAATTAGTACTGGGCCAAATGGTAGAAATGTAAAATCTAGGTTACTTAATTGTGTGTTGTGACAATCAACTCAACTTTTAAGTAGTTTCTTTAAGTTCAATACCTTAAGGAATTTTGAAATTTATAAAGTAATATTTATCATCTTTTAAGAAAATAATGGTTGAGAACAAAGCAACTACATAATAAATCGAGTGCGCATTTATAAGTGCCACATCCCACCCAATTTCGATTAACATTTGATATGAATCTCTAATGTTGATGGAATGTTGTTGTTTTTTTTTTTTTTTTTGCAAGGAGGAAGTCCACACTGTTATAAGTTATAAACCTCAATCAAATTAGAAGCAAATAATCGGAATTGGATGGAATTAGGAGGCCTAATGAAGTAGTCCAATCCAATAATTATGTCCTGAATGAAAGCTCCAGGTGCTTTCAAGTAGACGAGACCGGCAAAACACTTTATAAAAACAAAATAGAATTTCCAGGTAGAAAGAACGGTATAATAAACAAATAATCAACCAATCTATCGAAGAGGAGAAAAAGAAAATGGAAAGAAAGAGCAAAGGAGGCGCCACGTTGCTTTGATGATGACGCGGAAAAGGACCCACACTGTCAGGCACCGATCGCCGACGACAGCCGCCGGCCCACCGCCAAGCCACCCTTCCCTTTTCTATCGGAGGAACAATACGACGTCGTTTGGGATCGGCTCTCGTCGTTTGGGGCCTCAGATGCATTCGTTCCTGCGCGCCTTCACGTCGTTACAGCTACAGGTCCCGCCACCATCTTCGCCATCCCACCACCACTCCTCCTACCTTTTCGGTTTTCACCTTATTTTACTCTCTCTCCCTGCTGTCATATATATATATGCACATAAAGATTCTTCCTTTCCTTTCCTTGCTTCCTTCCATCCATTTCCAAGCACAACCATTTTAACATTAAACCGAGGTCAAACTCCTCACTGCCTCTCTCTCTCTCTCTCCCTCCCTCTATCTCTCTCCAGCTTCCATTAGCTTTGTGGGTAATTCGGTTCACTGTGATCGAGGAACTGCTCTTTCGGCCTCTGGCTCTGTGGTGCCTATTGATACAGTCTGATTCGGCCCCTGTTTTAAATGCTAGCAGTCTGAGTGTCTGAGGCTTGGGTTCTCTCAACCCGACGAAAAGGAACCAACTTTCGGATGATAAAAGGTATGTATGTGCCTCTCTGTTCTCCATTTAATCCTCTGTTTCATTTTAAATGCTCGCTGTATTCACTACTCTGTCTGGCTTACAATTTTGTTTCTTTCTGGATTGTTGTTATTTGACGAGTTGGGTTTTGTTCCTCTTCAGGTTTAACGAACTGGGTTCTAGTTGAAACTTGAGAAAGAAAAACAGACGAGGATGAGTAGCCGAGCCAGTACAACTCGGCATTCCGCCATGAAAGCTCCTCCTCAGGCCAAGCTTGGAAAGGTAAGCAAGCAGTAAAAATACTATTAATTAATTGCCACTGGTTGGGTTGCTTCGTCGTAACAGATACGTTTTCGTCTGTTATTACTGCCATTTTGTTTGATCAATCAATTGGTTTTTGGAAAACGGTTTCCACTGTACAGTCTCCCATACATTTACATGATTTTTTTTTCTCTCTCAAAGGTATTGGGATTTGCAAACTCCCCCCTCCAATTACCTTTTTCGCCGGCATCTCTCTGTTTTTATCCATGGCTTCAGTCCCAATGCCCAAGCAAACGCTCCTCCGAGATATCATGATCAAATTACGCCCTTTGTTCTTTTCCTCTTCTCAATAATAGAATCCAAAGTCTTGTTCCCTTCCTTGGTCACCAAATCGAAATCTATATCAAGAGAAAAATATATCGATCACCATTCTTAAAACAGGGGAAAATTCACATTCCTCTGTTTTCATCCTAATTGCCATGAAGAGTTCTCCTTCTCGGTGAAGCTGATTGATTGACTTTTCTTCAATGCTGTTGTAATCCGGAATGCAGGGGCGCTATTCCATCAATGGAACTAACAATGCAACCAAATCCCGCAGAGCTTCCCCAAGAAGAGACAAGAAAATGGCTCTCCAGCAAGATGTACGGATGGGTTCAGTTCGATTTGGTTCTATTTGACTGATTGGCTTAATTTCCTGATTACCCACTTCCAAATTCTCAAACCTTTTCAGGTTGATAAACTGAAGAAGAAGCTGAGATACGAAGAGAATGTGCACAGAGCTCTGGAGAGAGCTTTCAATAGACCCATGGGAGCTCTGCCTCGCCTCCCTCCTTATCTTCCCTCTGCCGTTAGTCTCCTCAAACAACCAGTTTCCACTTCTCGAGTGATTCCTTCTTCTGTAAATCTGATGGTGTGTTTTAGTTCTGTTGCAGACGCTGGAGCTTCTAGCAGAAGTTGCCGTCTTAGAAGAGGAAGTAGTACGGTTAGAAGAACAAGTAGTGCATTTCAGGCAGGACTTATACCAGGAAGCTGTCAACATTTCCAGCTCCAAGAGGAACCTTCGAGAAAATTCCTCTACAGACTCCTACCATTCAATCCCGCCTAAGAACGAGCAGCAGCAGAAACAGCAGGGCAAAGGGAATGAAATGGGCTGTCGTTCTTCCAATTCAGCATTGAAAAAAGGGAGGGGCTCATCATCATCAGCTCAGAATGCCCACTCTACGGTCCGAACGCCAGTTAAAAGAGGTGTAATTGATCATAAACAGGAGAAGCGCTTGGGTCCTCAGAAGTTGAAGGTATCAAATCAAGCTGGCTGAACAAATATTGTCAGAATTTCGCAAGAACATTGGTTTGACTTCGAAGAGCTTGGTATGAATTGTGTTTTAGCAGCTGGTGGATGACAACCCAAACACAGTATCGGAGGACATCGTGAAGTGCTTGTCGAGCATTTTCGCGAGGTTGAGCACGACGAAGAAGAACCACAACAGCAGTGAGTATGATCCTTATGGGATATGGGCAGATTTTGGAAGGAGAGATGTTGGTCAGTACAAGCATTTGTGTGCAATTGAAGCTGACACCATCAATCCCAACAGAACATCCAACTCTTTGTTTCTACTCCATAGACTAAAGTAAGTCCCATTTTGGAAATCATACCTTTCAAATAGGCTTCCTTTTTCAACCAGATTCTTATATGGCTTTATTTGTTCATCTTCTAAAGGCTTCTGCTTGGTAAACTTGGTGCTGTCAAGTTGGATAAGTTAACCCATCAAGAGAAACTTGCATTCTGGATCAACATCTACAACTCCTGCATGATGAATGTATGGAAATTAACCCTCTTCCCTTTGGTGCATTTCTTCAGTTTTTTTTTACCTTAAATTTGCTGTAACTTTTCAGTTTCTTGTTGCAGGCATTTCTGGAGTGTGGTATACCAGAAAGCCCTGAGATGGTTGTTACAGTAATGAGAGAGGTAAGACAATGAAGAAAGAAATAAGTAGTATTTATGAGTAACTTTCTTTCTGCAACAAAACTAACTCATAAGCCTGGTGACATCATTTGACAATGCTGTATTAAAATTTGGGTTCCTGAAAGTTTCTTGTTTCCCTTTGCTTGTTTATTAAGGCAACAATCAATGTTGGAGGACACCTGCTAAGTGCAATAACCATTGAACACTTCATTCTCAGATTGCCTTACCACTCCAAATATGTAAGTACCTAGTTACTGCCCACAGCTCACATTTCCTTACTTGGGAATTTGCCACACCCTTGAAGAAAAAATTCTGCCTTTATCATTCAGGCATTATCGAAAGGGTCGAAGAACGATGAGATGACAGCAAGGAGCAAATTCGGGTTGGAGTTATCCGAACCTTTGGTGACATTTGCTCTCTCTTGTGGAAGTTGGTCTTCTCCTGCTGTAAGTTCCCTTTCATCCATCGCCATCTAAAACTTCCCCCTCATTTGATGTTTTCCTAAAGGACTATAAGTCAACTTTCAATAGTGATCTTTTTTTCTTTTCTGCACTGAAGGTGAGAGTGTACACAGCAGCACAAGTCGAGAATGAGCTCGAGGCGGCAAAGAAAGAGTACTTGCAGGCAGCAATTGGGATTTCAGCTAGCAAGTTTGCTATCCCAAAGCTGTTGGATTGGTATTTGCTGGACTTTGCAAAAGACTTGGACTCATTGCTGGACTGGATTTGCCTGCAGCTACCAAGTGAACTTGGGAAAGAAGCAATGAAGTCCCTTGACAGAGGTACCAAAACTCAGCCAAGTACACAAATCATCCAGGTCATGCCATATGAGTTCAGTTTTAGGTACCTTCTGTACATACCATAGTTAATTCTCTTCAGTGGAATTCCGTAGAAGCCTTTAAGTCTCATTTTTGTACACATCAATAGGGTAAAAATAGATGTAGAATTTAAGTTTGTATAATTTCTCATCTCTGTAAGTAAGGAGTCATAAAAAAGAATGAAAAGCAGTGAAAGAAAAGTTCAATATTTTCCCTCCCTCCCTCTCTCTCTCTGAAGGGTCTTTGCAGAATCATAAAAAAGGGTATTTTCAGAACATCCAAAAGGTTGCATGATTTAGGTAATACTTAGTGAGCAGAGAATTTACAAAGATTGGAACTTTGTGTGTTAAAGCATTCTTTATTTGCAAGCAGACATTCTATTGGACTCAGCAACCAGAAGGATGAAGCTGTCACTGAATGAAATGTGGTTGGATTTTATTAATGATTAAGACAAGTGGGATTGGTGTCTGGTAATAGCTGAATGCTAGCCAGCCATGCTTGGCAGTGAAAAACTACAGCCACTATGGTCCAAACTATTTGACTTACCAGACTTTCTTTTTCCATTCTACACTAAAGAACATTATTAGTTGAGAATAACAGCAGGTGATAAAGCTGAGAGCTTCTCTGTATGGAATGTTAATCAATAGTTTCTGAATTCTCCATCGCAGCATTAAGGGTCTGCATTTTGCAATAACTAAAGCTGTAACGGATCCCAACATTCAAGAAAGCAAGAGTGCAAGTCAATCTACCAAATATATATCAGATCAGATATCAATATCATATCACCTTCCCCTTTAAATGGGCTGTGGTCCAACAGTGAGAAAGAAGGCAGCAGGCTAAGCAATTCCTTACAGAGCTACTAATAAAGGCATCATTATCAATATTTTGCAATGGCTGGAGCTGCCCATTTGCTGCAACAAGCCATTTAATGAAATCAAGTTTCTGTCACAATCCTTGATGAGATGGATGGATTAGTGGTAGTAGCAACCTAATTTTGGGTTTTTGTTGAGGTAATCGTGTGCTGGGAAATGGCCAAGTCCCATTGGGTAAGTGGGAGCCAACAATGGGTCAATACCAGCTTGACTCATTGAACTTTGATTATAATAAATGTAACCCGGAACATTTAAAAAATTTGACGTAATAGTTACTTCGTCCAATTCTGTCAGGTTAAGGGGTAGAGGGCAAATATTGGTTGAAATGATTAAGTAACGAGTTTAGCTTAGATACGGTATGCATTGAAGTGAGTCGGTTGTATAAGGTGATTAGCATTCAAGTTGTTGTTTTCATTACTAACCTAATTGAGTTGACATGCTAGTCTTGACGAATTGGTTACAAGATCAAAACGTAATGTGGAATTCGCGAGTGATTCCAAAGTATAGTGGCCATCAATGTAATTTACATGGACCAAAAATGGGTAAATGTGATGGGAATCTGAAGTTTGTCCCATGCTGAAGAAAAAGTTGGGTTTGTGGGCTATGGAAACTGTGGAAGAAGGGGGGAATGTGGTCCAAGAGGAGGTCTTTTCAGTTTTTGGGGCTGAGATAAATTGGGGATATGGTGGTGGGCAACTCTCTTCTTTCTTCTCTTGGATCTACCATCCATCACATGATGCAGCCTAGTTATTCTGCTAACTAGAAAATTCGTTAGTATATACTAATTAATATCCAAAATGTATGAACTAATATCCAAGTCTGTTGAGTATCTAGATACCAGAGACTAGTATTCAAAACATCACAAACTAGTATCCAGATAGCAGATACCAACTAATATCCACAACCAACCAATTAGTATTCAATATGGATACTCTTATGTGTTATCTGGATACTCTTATGTGCTGTATGGATACTATTTATGTGCTGTATGGATACTATTCTGTGTTGTTTAGATATTAGTTTGTGAATTTGGGATAATAGTTGATTCCTTGTGGATATCAGTTAGCCAACTTTGAATACTAGTTTGTGCTTTCTAGATACTTTAGTATTTGGATACTAATTCACGTATTTTGGATATCAGTTAGTATCTGCTAACGAATTTTCAAGTTAGCAGATTAACTTTTCCCCACATGATGATGAAAGCTAAATGACACTGCTGTCATCTTTTGCTTTCTTTTTGTGCAAAGTTGAGGGGAGAAAAAACATGTTCATCTTTCTCCTATGGGGCAAAAAAACAGTGGTCACTGAGGTTATATCCAAGGCTAGGATAGGAAGTAGAGGACCAGTACAGGTCATACAACCATGAACAAGTTCTTGAGGGAAGCAAACAACCACCCACGAAATTCTGTTTACAAATGATGGGTACTCGAGCGGTTACTTCAGTACACATATCTTTTTTTTTTTTTTTTGACAAAAGATAATCAATAGATTGAAAACAATAGATCGTTACATCCTGGAAAACAGCCAGGCCTGGAAATCAAACAAACGACAAGCAGTCGGGGACAAAGACAGGGCCTGTCTAGCTACCAAATGAGCTACCCTATTGTTCCGCCGTCCTACAAATCGCACAGTCAACCCTATGTTGGAATCAAAAAAATTCACTATCTCCTCCAGGATGACTCCTATGCTACTGTCCCGGGTATCCCTCCGCCGAATTTTCTCAATTATCACCTGGGCGTCACCTTCAAACCTCATGGCAGCGAACCCATTGGCCAAACACCAGCCAATCGCCTCCCGGAGGGCCAGAGCTTCCACCAGCATTGGATCATCCATACACGGGAAGTGAACCCCCTTAGCAAGGATGATCTCTCTGCCAGAATTGAGTACAACCATCCCCCCTGCCGCATGCGAACCCAATCGCACCGCCCCATCCCACATACAAATCGCCATGTTCTCTCCAGTCTGGGTAATGGGCGGGGCCGGGAGGCGACTAATCTGAGCAGGCATTTCCCTGGGTAAACTAAGCCATTCCTGTAATTGCTGGTAGTACTGACGCATCAAGGCAGGGATACCGAACTGCTTACCTTCAAAAACCACCCAATTCCGGGAGCGCCAAATCCGCCACAGAACCGCCACTACAGACATAACCAGAGCAGGGCTATGCACCATACTCAAGACATTCTTCAGAAATAGGGGGAACGTATGACGGGGCAAACCCTCACCCAAGTGGGTTAGCCCAGAATGATCCCATACTGCACGAGCCACCGGACATTCCAAGAACAAATGTTCTAGAGTTTCCGATGCCTCCCAGCATACCGGACATCGAGGCATAACCTCCACCTTCCTCTCACGCAAAGCTTCAGTAGTTGGAAGAATTCTATGAAATATTTGCCAAACAAACACCCGGAGCTTCGGTGGAATATCCGCCTCCCACAACCTGATCCAGCTTGGCTTATCCATCCAACTCGCCAGAGCCCTCCATGGCCCATTCAGCCGGTCCAAATTCACCGCGACATAATACGCAGACTTAACGGAGAAAAGGCCATCAGGAGTCGAATGCCAAATCAATTTATCCTCAATATCCTGACGCGGCAACGGGATGGCCTTAATGGCCGCACAGGTATCCGGGTCAAACCACTGCCTGAGTTTTTGCTCATTCCACCGACCCTCTCCACGTTGGATTACTTCCTCCACCCTCAACACTTCCTTATCAGGCACCACACATGGGTTATAGACTGGGAGGCGGGGATGGTGCAAAGGAATCCAACTGGCCGTAAGCAGAGGAGCCTGCCGACCATTCCCAACTTGCCAACGCACCCCAGACTCCAACAAATCCCGGCCAAAGAGAATACTTTGCCATCCCCAAGAGGGACGAGACCTAGCCTGAGCAGTCAGAAACGTCCCATTCGGGAAATATTTACCTTTGTACACCTGGGCTAGAAGGGACTGGGGTTCCTTAAGGATACGCCACCCAATTTTCGCGAGCAACGCTTGATTAAAGAGCTCAAATCGGCGAAACCCCATGCCCCCATCATGTTTACTTTTGCACAAGTTCCGCCAAGAGATCCAACGGATCTTAGATTTCCCTTCTTCCACGCCCCACCAGAAACGGGCTATATGTTTATCTAGAAGGCGGCACAGAGTTAGGGGTAGCTTAAAGCATGACATAACATGCAGAGGCAGGGCTAAAGCGACTGATTTAATCAAGGTTTCCTTCGCAGCCCACGACAAAGTTCGCCTCTTCCACCCCTGCAATCTAGCCAACAGTTTCTCCTCCAGGTAGCGGAACGTAGCCATTTTAGACCGGGCTATCAGAGAAGGGAGACCCAGATACTTGTCATGGACACCCACCGCCCTAACTCCTAAAATTGCCCCCAAGAACTCCTGATCCGCCATCGCAATATTTTTACTGAAGCAGACAGCCGATTTCTCCAAATTCACTTTCTGCCCACTCAATTCCTCATACTCATTAAGAACCTCGATCAAATTCTCACATTCTTGGAGGGAGCCCCTAAGAAAAAGATAAGAATCGTCGGCAAAGAACAGATGAGAAATACGCGGCGCACGGGGGGCCACCTTGACCCCTTGTAATTTTCCTTCTGAGATGGCTTGACGAAGGAGAGCCGCGAACCCCTCCGTACAAATGACAAAGAGAAGGGGAGAGAGCGGATCACCCTGTCTAAGCCCTCGGGAAGAGGAAAAGTACCCCGCTGGGGTCCCATTCATTAAGACCGAAAATGATGCAGATTGGAGGCATTCCTGAACCCATCCTCTCCAGGTCGAGTTAAACCCCATTTTTTCCAAAACCCCTAGAAGAAAGGGCCATTCGACTCTATCATAGGACTTTTCCATATCAACCTTTAGAGCCATATATCCCTTCTTCCCTCTGGTTTTGATTTTCAGGTAATGCATTAACTCGTGCCCTAAGAGAATGTTATCCACAATCTGCCTCTCCCGAATAAAAGCATTTTGGCCATCGGAAATAATTTGCGGTAGAATACCAGCAAGCCTGCCTGCCAAGATTTTAGTAATCACTTTATAAACAAATTGGCAAAGACTAATAGGACGCAGTTGCCGCATAGACTCTACTTGGTCCACCTTAGGAATTAGCGTCAACCACGTATGATTAAAGCTCCGAAGCATTCTCCCAGTTTCGAAAAACGAACTAACCGCCTGGATCACTGAATCCCCCACTATATCCCAAAACGCTTTGAAGAACTTCCCAGTAAAACCATCCGAACCGGGGGCCTGTTTGGAGCCCATAGAGAAAACCGTTCCCCGAATTTCAGAAGGAAGAACTTCAGCAGTCAGATTAGCATTCATATCCGGAGTAACACAAGGATCAATGTGGAGAGCCGTCACACGCTCATTCATATTCGCAATCAGGTTTTCTGATGTGAATAGAGACCGGTAAAAATCAGTAGCCAGCTCAGCCTTCCCTTGTTCCTCCGTGACCCACTCACCAGCCTCATTATAAAGACCAGCCACAAAATTCCGCTTCCGCCGAGCCCTAGTGACCGTATGGAAGTAAGCTGAGTTTTTATCCCCTTTCTTAAGCCAAGTAACACGGGATTTTTGTTGCCAATAAACTTCCTCAGCCTCCCATTGTCTACTCAATTCGGTTTCTAACCTGGTCACCTCTTCCCAATCAATAGGGTGAAAGGCTTTTAGCCGATCAATTTCGCCTTGCAAGGTATGAATGTTTCGCAGAGAATTGGTTGTGCCCGCTCTACTCCAATCATACAGCAAATGACGTAACTTCTTCAGCTTTTCCCAT